ACTAAGACCGAAATCCTGTAGCGACTAAGACCGAAATCCTGTTGCGAGTAAGATCGAAATCCTGTAGCGACTAAGACCGAAATCCTGTTGCGACTAAGACCGAAATCCTGTAGCGACTAAGACCGAAATCCTGTTGCGAGTAAGACCGAAATCCTGTTGCGAGTAAGACCGAAATCCTATTTGCGACTAAGACCGAAATCCTGTTGCGAGTAAGACCGAAATCCTGTTGCGAGTAAGATCGAAATCCTGTAGCGACTAAGACCGAAATCCTGTTGCGACTAAGACCGAAATCCTGTAGCGACTAAGACCGAAATCCTGTAGCGACTAAGACCGAAATCCTGTTGCGAGTAAGATCGAAATCCTGTAGCGACTAAGACCGAAACCTGTTGCGACTAAGACCGAAATCCTGTAGCGACTAAGACCGAAATCCTGTTGCGAGTAAGACCGAAATCCTGTTGCGAGTAAGACCGAAATCCTGTTGCGACTAAGACCGAAATCCTGTTGCGAGTAAGACCGAAATCCTGTTGCGAGTAAGATCGAAATCCTGTAGCGACTAAGACCGAAATCCTGTTGCGACTAAGACCGAAATCCTGTAGCGACTAAGACCGAAATCCTGTAGCGACTAAGACCGAAATCCTGTTGCGAGTAAGATCGAAATCCTGTAGCGACTAAGACCGAAATCCTGTTGCGACTAAGACCGAAATCCTGTTGCGACTAAGACCGAAATCCTGTTGCGAGTAAGACCGAAATCCTGTAGCGACTAAGACCGAAATCCTGTTGCGACTAAGACCGAACCCCTGAGCGACTAAGACCGGAACCTTGCGAGTAAGACCGAAATCCTGTAGCGACTAAGACCGAAATCCTGTTGCGAGTAAGATAGAAATCCTGTTGCGGGTAAGATCGAAATCCTGTTGCGACTAAGACCAAAATCCTGTTGCGACTAAGTCCGAAATCCTGTTGCGAGTAAGACCGAAATCTTGTTGCGACTAAGACCGAAATCCTGTTGCGAGTAAGACCGAAATCCTCTAGCGACTAAGACCGAAATCCTGTAGCGACTAAGACCGAAATCCTGTTGCGAGTAAGATCGAAATCCTGTTGCGACTAAGACCAAAATCCTGTTGCGACTAAGACCGAAATCCTGTTGCTTGTAAGATCGAAATCTTTAGCGAATTTATTATTATACAGTTCCCTTTTCAGGGCTACACCTTCTCCATTCAAATTGTTAACCTCTCCATTTGGAGATGTGCCTCAGTTGCACCCAAATGTTGTTACTAATATTGATTTTCGGGTGGGCTGACTTTAAAGTTAAACTGCTCTAATTGAACGGCAAAAATTGCCAGTAATGAAAGACCCGGCCAAAGACTAGTAGTAAATTTTTATGGGCTCCTGGAACATTTGTCCCGCAAACATTATTGGTGGACTCGTAAGAGTCCAGGTAAGAATAAGTAACACAAAACAATGAACGGCAATTGTATTCATGTATTAACAAAAGGAATTGCATGTATACACAATTTAAACGAAACGATGACATTGAAACTAGCTACGAGAATGTGCTTGTTTGTATGTGTCTGAAACAAGGGCGTGTGAGAGAGTTCATAAGTCAGCAGAGGACCAAGGAAGAGAATGCGCCCAGTCGGCATCGTTCTTATTTTATATTTGATTTCATCTGGTAACATAGTCCTGGGTATGACAATAAACTACATCCAGCAGCAAGGCCGCTGATCGGAGCATTGGAAGTTTTGAGGAGCGTGGAATCACCTCTTAATTGATGTTAACCCAGGTTCACCCCGGTAACTCCCGTTGAGGTCCCAGCTATGGGCAAATAGTAAACTCCCAAACAAAGACAAAACTATGAAAGTATAAAAATGCATTTTTATAGTAAAAATTACTAGCAATACAGTTTTATACAAAAAAATTTACCAACAACTCCTATTTATAGTAGAATTAGCAACAATACATTTTATAGCAAGATGACTAGCAATACATTTTATCTGTGTATGTCTATATTTCCGAGATGAGGTATTGTAATTATTTACACTATTTACAATGTTCGAACTGTTGTCCTCATCTTTGTTGTCATATTCACGACGTTTCGGCAGTTGTACGCTCCGAACGTCTTCAGTATATGTCTATATTTCTGAGTTGAGGTATTGTAATTATTTGCATTATTTACCTTGTTCGGACTGTTGTTCTCGTCTTTGTTGCCATATTCACGACGTTTCGGCTATCTTACGCTACGGACTTCTTCAGTATATGTCTATATTTCTGAGATGAGGTATTGTAATTATTTACATTATTTACAATTTTGGACTGTTGTCATCTTTGTTGCCATATTCACGACGTTTCGGCTATTGTACGCTACGGACTTCTTCAGCATCTGTCTATATTTCTGAGATGAGGTATTGTAGTTATTTGCATGATTTACATTGTTCGGACTGTTGTTCTCATCTTTGTTGCCATATTCACGACGTTTCGGCAGTTGTACGGTCCGGACTTCTTCAGTATCTGTCTATATTTCTGAGATGGAGTATTGTAATTATTTACATTATTTATAATGTTCGGACTGTTGTCCTCATCTTTGTTGCTATATTCACGACGTTTCGGCTGTTGTACGCTACGGACTTCTTCAGTATCTGTCTATATTTCTGAGATGAGGCATTGTAGTTACTTACATTATTTACAATGTTTGGACAGTTATCCTCATCTTTGTTGCCATATTCACAACGTTTCGGCTATCTTACGCTACGGACTTCTTCAGTATCTATATTTCTGAGATGAGGTATTTAATTATTTACCTTGTTCGGACTGTTGTTCTCATCTTTGTTGCCATATTCACGACGTTTCGGCAGTTGTACGCTCCGGACTTCTTCAGTATCTGTCTATATTTCTGAGATGGAGTATTGTAATTATTTACACTATTTACAATGTTCGAACTGTTGTCCTCATCTTTATTGTCATATTCACGACTTTCCCTCAAAGACACATTTCCCCGTGGATAAATGTGTTGGTTGGATCCACTGACTTGACCCAAAGTGTTGTGAGTTCAATACCTGGCTACTTCAGTGGTTAACGTTTTTGTTCGCCACTGCAGTAGCCAGGTATTGAACTCACATCTCTTTGGATCAAGTCACTGGATCCAACCAACACTTTTATCTTTTGGAGAGTTAAATTAAAAGGGAAATAACTGAGATATCCGGAATATTCATGGCACGTGGAATTTGAACAATCTACCTCGATGGACGAAACAAAGAGTTCAGTTGGAAAATTTCAATCACTTGAAGAATGCCGGAGCGTACAACGGCCGAAACGTCGTGAATATGAAAATAAAGATAAGGACAACAGTCTGAACAATGTAAATAATGCAAATAATTGATGTGGGGGCCAAAGTCGGGACCACAGAAGGAAAACACGGAACACGGATTAGATGTAAGAAAGATATATTAACAACAGGTTACAGAGATAGTGTAAGCGAAGCTTACTATATGTTAGTGTCCAATACTGGTAGTCGTACGCGGCTCTCACTCTCTCTCTGTCTCTCTCTAGAGTATTGTGTCGCATACTTAATATAGACATGGAAGAGTCTATTGTGTAAGTAGTTCTGATCTCACAATAATAATATTATCTGTGGGTGAAGCCATAAAATTGTGTTCATTAAATAATTCATACAGATTAATATGGCGCTATACAAAATCAACTAAACAACAAACATGAAAGAACTCTTTCTCGACATTAATCCATATAATATCCTAATCCATATAATATCCTAATCCATTAATCCATATAATATCCTACAATTTCTTAAAGAAATCAAACAGTATTCGATAACATAACTTCAACAAAACTACAACATAAAACACACATCTCAGCACCTCTCGTAATCATGTCCACACAAACATATATATTCACAAAAGCTGAGTATCATCTACCATGTATTCAACTGTGAAAGCAGAATAACATATATCATATTTTTATTGCTTTAAAGCTCCCAAGAAAATTAAATTTCAGCATTAAGTGACCCATGAGGAGTTGATATGCCGTTAAACAAATAAATTAACAAATCAAATCACCTCTAGAGTAACAATAGCAAGAATAGCAAGAATGTGCTTGCCTTTTTATAGACTTAAAGAGCGCCCCTCACAAGGGCTTTTGGCGGAGCGAAGTGGGGTAACCAACACATTGTTAAATATTAAAAGAAGTTGAGCTCAAATATTCAACAATGCAGTAGGGGAAATTCTTTGGATAATTCTTTTTTATAGAATTCGCAATGAGCTTACACAAGAATAATGCCGTAATTCCCCATGTATAATACGCATTTTTTCTAAAAAAAAATGAATAAAAATAAGCAAAATCAGAGGTTCGTAATATGCACAGCTACAATCTTTAAAGAATTGTCGTAAAATAAAATAAGAATTATCATAAAACTAAGTTAGAATAATATTATTCTATGCTTAAAACGATTTTTTTAAATAAGAGCAGGAAACGCTGGCCGTAATGAAATTTGAGAGGTACGATTTATAGGGTTTGATACCAAACAAGGGGTACGTATTATGTGTGAGTATAAGCAATCTCCCGCACTTTCAGCACAATTTTAGGTGTGTTTATTATGGATGAAGGTGTATTATACATGAGGAATTATGGTGTATTAAAATAACATTCATGAGGATATTGCGACAATAAATCTAAGTAATGACTAAGTCCGAAGGCAAGTAACGACTAAGACTGAAATCAATTGGAGAGAGAGAAACACTAGAATCAATAAAGGCTGAGATAAGTAAAGTGCGAAATCATGAAAAGGGTTTAAAACTTAAATCGATTAGGGTCTAAAAACCCAAATCAGTAAGTCTGAACTCAAGCAAAGATTAAGATTGCAAGCAAAAGTTAAAACAGAAAAAAATCTAAAGTCTAAAAATGTTGAAAACACAAGGAAAGAATGAAGTCAATGACTAAAAGGAGTGGAAGGAAATTTAAAAAAAAAACAATGAAAAATGCAACAAAGAAACAACATATAGTCTGTCATAAAAAGAAGGAAGGAAGGAAGGAAAAAAGGAAGTAAGGAACGAACGAAGGAAGGAAGGAAGGAAGGAAGGAAGGAAGGAAGGAAGGAAGGAAGGAAGGAAGTAAAAAAGGAAGTAAGGAACGAACGAACGAACGAACGAACGAAGGAAAGAAGGAAGGAAGGAACGAAGGAAGGAACGAACGAAGGAAGGAAGGAAGGAAGGAAGGAAGGAAGGAAGGAAGGAAGGAAGAAAAAAAGGAAGGAAGGAAGGAAGGAAGGAAGGAAGGAAGGAAGGAAGGAAGGAAGGAAGAAAGGAAGGAAAAAAGGAAGGAAGGAAAGAAGGAACGAACGAAGTAAGGAAGGAAGGAAGGAAGTAAGGAAGGAAGGAAGGAAGGAAGGAAGGAAGGAAGTAAGAAAAGAAGTAAGGAAGTAAAAAGGAAGAAAGGAAAGGAACGAACGAACGAACAGACGAAGGAAGGAAAGATGGAATGAACGAACGAACGAAGAAAGGAATGAACGAACGAACGAACGAAGAAAGGAAGGAAAGAAATAAGGAAGTAAAAAAGGAAGGAACGAGGGAAGGAAGGAAGGAAGAGAGTAAAATAAAAGAAAGAAACGAAAGAAGGAAGTAAAAAAGGAAGAAAAGTAGGAAAGAAGAAAAAAAAGGAAGGAATGAAGAAAGGAAGGAAGGGAAGTAAAACAGAAAGAAAGATGAACGCAAGAGAAAGATGAACAAAGAAAGATGCAACTGAATGGAAAAAGAGAGATGAGTGAAGAAGCAACAAGTAAGGAAAAATTGAAATAAAAGAAAAACAAAAAGAGAATCTGAATAGCAAAGACAAAATGGATAAAATATGAAGAGAGATACAAAATAAATTAAGAAAAGATTTTCGTAAATGGAGGGACATTATGGAAAAGGTGGACGAGGCATTTGAAATGAATGCAGTAATATTATTCAGTCGGATAAATGGTTTAATTTAATCGGAAAAAAGACTTGCGAATTGTCACAAAGAGGACAAAATATATGCAAATTCAATTTTCAGGTGTTTGAATGTGAATATATTTCTTGAATAGAAAGTAGAAAAAATATAATCCGCATATGTAATTATGTGCGTGTCTATAAAAACAGAAAATAGATATGAACAGGCTGAGATTTTTTTTTCTGAAATCTGACCAAATATGAGAGAGTTTCTTTTTCAGTTCACCTCTTAGATAGATAGATAGATAGATAGATAGATAGATAGATAGATAGATAGATAGATAATGAGTAGATTGAAATAGATAGATAGATAGATAGATAGATAGATAGATAGATAGATAGATAGATAGATAGATTGAAAAAGATATGAGTAGATAGATAATGAGTAGATAGAAATAGATAGATAGATAGATAGATAGATAGATAGATAGATAGATAGATAGATAGATAGATATGAGTATATTAAATGTATAGATAGGTAGATATGAGTAGATTGAAATAGATAGATTCGAGCAGACTGAGATAGATAGATAGACGGACAGACAGACAGCTAGCTAGCTAGCTAGCTAGCTAGATAGCTAGATAGATAGATAGATAGATAGATAGATAGATATGTAAAGACTTGCACAAATAGCTAGATATTGAAATAGATCAATCACTAAGAATTCAGGTTTGAGTATGAATATCTTAAAATAAATCAGCATAAATTAAAAAGACACATTTTCTAAATACCAGACGCACGCAAGCTTTTCACAACAACAAAAAAGCACATTTCAAATTGATTTTTTGTTGTGTGTTTTTGTTTTTTTTTTTGTTTTTGTTTTTTTTTTTTTCTTCATTGTTTTATTCATCTATTTTATTTATTTTTTCTCTGTCATCTTTTAGAAAAGTTTATTTCTGGTTACGACATCTTTGAATCATTGTATGCAGACGGTGTTTTTTCCACGAGTCTTTAATTTCCAGGCATTCTCTCCTGTCATATAATGAGATTAAAATATGACTGTGGGATTTTTGTAGCTTTTGCTCGTCGCCGGCCACGAGTCATGAAGACATTGTATATCGAGCTTTTTATTTCGTTAATTTTACTGACTCTTCTAGTTCACTGATCACGACAAATGCTGTGTCCCTTTGAGATAGAAGTGTTCATGGCTCTCTACAAATTTCTATTACTAACTGGGATCAACTTTAAACTCCAAAAAGTTAAATGCGATGTCAATCGTTATCTTTTGTTTTCTTAATTTCTGTTCTTTTGTCATTCTCGCTCCTTTAATAATACCGTCCTGGGTATGACGACAAACTTCGTCCGACAACAGGGCCCCTGATCACTAGGCTTTGAGGAGCATGGAACTACCTCTTAATTACTGGTGTTTCCAGGTTCACCCAAACTCGGGGCGTTAGCATCTGTTAGGGCCCCAGCTATAGGCAAATAGTTAACCCTAAACTGGGGTCAAAACACTATGAAAGTGTAAAAATAGGTTTTAATATCAGAAATACATATTTTTGTAAAATATTATTACCAGCAATATATTTTTTGAAAAAAAATATTACCAATAATACATTTTTGAAAAAAAAATATTATCTGCTATATATTTTTGGGAAAAAAATATTACTAGCAATAGCTTTTTAAAAAAAGAATATTACCAGCAATACATTTTTGGAAAAAATTATACCAGTAATAAAAATCTTGTCGGCATTAAAAAAAAACCATTGTGGTTGTTATGCTGTAAAACAAAACAAACCAAACCAAACCAAAATAAGTTTGTCTACAAACTGTGTATCTGAAAAAAATAAATCGATGAAAGCAGATTCTCGAAAACAAACCTCTTTAGAAAAATATATCAATGAAACCAGATCTACAAACTGTTTCTTTACAAAGAATGCATATTCTATTCATACGAATCTATTCAAAAACTCTTGTCGGCATTAAATAACCCACTGAGGTTGATATGCCGTAAAACAAAATAAACCAAACCAATCTAAACCAAAGAATACATATTCTATTCATACGAATCTATTCTAAAAATCTTGTCGGCATTAAATAACCCATTGAGGTTGATATGTCGTAAAACAAAATAAACCAAACCAATCTAAACCAAAGAATACATATTCTATTCATTGGAATCTATCCTAAAAATGTTGTCGGCATTAAATAGCCCATTGTGGTTGATATGCCGTAAAACAAAATAAAGCAAACCAATCTAAACCAAAGAATACATATTCTATTCATACGAATCTATTCTAAAATGTTGTCGGCATTAAATAACCCATTGAGGTTGATATGCCGTAAAACAAAATAAACCAAACCAATCTAAACCAAAGAATACATATTCTATTCATTGGAATCTATTCTAAAAATGTTGTCGGCATTAAATAGCCCATTGTGGTTGATATGCCGTAAAAAACAAAATAAAGCAAACCAATCTAAACCAAAGAATACATATTCTATTCATACGAATCTATTCTAAAATGTTGTCGGCATTAAATAACCCATTGAGGTTGATATGCCGTAAAACAAAATAAACCAAACCAATCTAAACCAAAGAATACATATTCTATTCATTGGAATCTATCCTAAAAATGTTGTCGGCATTAAATAGCCCATTGTGGTTGATATGCCGTAAAACAAAATAAAGCAAACCAATCTAAACCAAAGAATACATATTCTATTCATACGAATCTATTCTAAAAATGTTGTCGGCATTAAATAACCCATTGAGGTTGATATGCCGTAAAACAAAATAAACCAAACCAATCTAAACCAAAGAATACATATTCTATTCATTGAATCTATCCTAAAAATGTTGTCGGCATTAAATAGCCCATTGTGGTTGATATGCCGTAAAACAAAATAAAGCAAACCAATCTAAACCAAAGAATACATATTCTATTCATACGAATCTATTCTAAAAATGTTGTCGGCATTAAATAACCCATTGAGGTTGATATGCCGTAAAACAAAATAAACCAAACCAATCTAAACCAAAGAATACATATTCTATTCATTGAATCTAACCTAAAAATGTTGTCGGCATTAAATAGCCCATTGTGGTTGATATGCCGTAAAACAAAAATAAAACAAACCAATCTAAACCAAAGAATACATATTCTATTCATTGGAATCTATTCTAAAAATGTTGTCGGCATTAAATAACCCATTGAGGTTGATATGCCGTAAAACAAAATAAACCAAACCAATCTAAACCAAAGAATACATATTCTATTCATTGAATCTATCCTAAAAATGTTGTCGGCATTAAATAGCCCATTGTGGTTGATATGCCGTAAAACAAAATAAAGCAAACCAATCTAAACCAAAGAATACATATTCTATTCATACGAATCTATTCTAAAATGTTGTCGGCATTAAATAACCCATTGAGGTTGATATGCCGTAAAAAACAAAATAAACCAAACCAATCTAAACCAAAGAATACATATTCTATTCATTGGAATCTATCCTAAAAATGTTGTCGGCATTAAATAGCCCATTGTGGTTGATATGCCGTAAAACAAAATAAAGCAAACCAATCTAAACCAAAGAATACATATTCTATTCATACGAATCTATTCTAAAAATGTTGTCGGCATTAAATAACCCATTGAGGTTGATATGCCGTAAAACAAAAATAAACCAAACCAATCTAAACCAAAGAATACATATTCTATTCATTGAATCTATCCTAAAAATGTTGTCGGCATTAAATAGCCCATTGTGGTTGATATGCCGTAAAACAAAATAAAGCAAACCAATCTAAACCAAAGAATACATATTCTATTCATACGAATCTATCCTAAAAATGTAGTGGGCATTAAATAACCCATTGAGGTTGATATGCCGTAAAAACAAAAAAACCAAAAATAAACCAAACCTATTCTAAAAATCTAAACCAAAGAATACAAATATTCTATTCATTTGAATCTATCCTAAAAATGTTGTCGGCATTAAATAGCCCATTGTGGTTGATATGCCGTAAAACAAAATAAAGCAAACCAATCTAAACCAAAGAATACATATTCTATTCATACGAATCTATCCTAAAAATGTAGTGGGCATTAAATAACCCATTGAGGTTGATATGCCGTAAAACAAAATAAACCAAACCAATCTAAACCAAAGAATACATATTCTATTCATTGAATCTATCCTAAAAAATGTTGTCGGCATTAAATAGCCCATTGTGGTTGATATGCCGTAAAAAACAAAATAAAGCAAACCAATCTAAACCAAAGAATACATATTCTATTCATACGAATCTATTCTAAAAATGTTGTCGGCATTAAATAACCCATTGAGGTTGATATGCCGTAAAACAAAATAAACCAAACCAATCTAAACCAAAGAATACATATTCTATTCATTGAATCTATCCTAAAAATGTTGTCGGCATTAAATAGCCCATTGTGGTTGATATGCCGTAAAAAACAAAATAAAAGCAAACCAATCTAAACCAAAGAATACATATTCTATTCATACGAATCTATTCTAAAAATGTTGTCGGCATTAAATAACCCATTGAGGTTGATATGCCGTAAAACAAAATAAACCAAACCAATCTAAACCAAAAGAATACATATTCTATTCATTGAATCTATCCTAAAAATGTTGTCGGCATTAAATAGCCCATTGTGGTTGATATGCCGTAAAACAAAATAAAGCAAACCAATCTAAACCAAAGAATACATATTCTATTCATACGAATCTATTCTAAAAATGTTGTCGGCATTAAATAACCCATTGAGGTTGATATGCCGTAAAACAAAATAAACCAAACCAATCTAAACCAAAGAATACATATTCTATTCATTGGAATCTATCCTAAAAATGTTGTCGGCATTAAATAGCCCATTGTGGTTGATATGCCGTAAAACAAAATAAAGCAAACCAATCTAAACCAAAGAATACATATTCTATTCATACGAATCTATTCTAAAATGTTGTCGGCATTAAATAACCCATTGAGGTTGATATGCCGTAAAACAAAAATAAACCAAACCAATCTAAACCAAAGAATACATATTCTATTCATTGAATCTATCCTAAAAAATGTTGTCGGCATTAAATAGCCCATTGTGGTTGATATGCCGTAAAACAAAATAAAGCAAACCAATCTAAACCAAAGAATACATATTCTATTCATACGAATCTATTCTAAAAATGTTGTCGGCATTAAATAACCCATTGAGGTTGATATGCCGTAAAACAAAATAAACCAAACCAATCTAAACCAAAGAATACATATTCTATTCATTGGAATCTATCCTAAAAATGTTGTCGGCATTAAATAACCCATTGAGGTTGATATGCCGTAAAACAAAATAAACCAAAAATTCAGTGAACTTTAACAGATCAATCAATCTGTTCATCTATCAAATTAGCCAGTTTCCCTTGTTTCGCCGGATATTTCGCTCATCATTAGAAATCACTCCAGCTGGGAATAAGACAAAATAAAGTTTTCTTTTTCTTTTACAGAATCCATTGATCCTTTGATCCAGCCCGTTGTCCAGGGTGGGGGGGAAGAAAGACGTAACTCGAGTACTCGTGGTTGCTTGGTCAATGAATGTCAGATATTTCCACATAAGAAAACGGTTAATAATTAGCATTGGAGATGAGAAGAACACGAGCTACACGAATAGGTAGATACTACACTTTGATCCCAGGCGGATGTCCATAGAGGGAAGGAAGACGTAACTCGAGTACTACTGACTGCTTGGCCAACGAATATCAAATGTTTCCTTACAAGGAAACGGCTAACATTAGCATTCCACTATTAT